ATGATTGGCAGTTAATCAATGACATGACTATACCATCTTGGCGTGCCACACCAAACTCAAAAGCGGTACGACTCTCATACCTCGGCGTGTGTGTGTGTGTGTGTGTGTGTGTCATCCTGTTGATTAAATATGATTTGACTAATGCACTTTTGACATGTGACTTTAAAAATTATAACTTTCAGTACTGACTGTTTTGAAGTTGAGATGTTTCCCTCCTAATGACCTGAGAGTTGTTGACATCACTTTTAGTGGAAAGGGAAATCCAGTCGTTGCAAGTGAACAAGTAACAGCAGTGAGGCCTTGAGGGATCCTCTACAATAATGCGCTTCAGGAACCAGCCTGACTTGGAACCGCTGTCATCGCGAGAGACGCGAACATGGGAAATGTCGCCGAGATTAGCGGTGCGGATGATGAACTTAGAGACGGCACCAGAACTGAATAGATCCCGCCGATCCGGAGAAGTCAGCCTGAACTGAGGGCTTTCACCATGCTCGCCAAACATTACAAGAAACACACGACTGTCCGTACCAGCATCCTCGAAGTCGCCCGTTACTACAGTGATTCGATAAGCTGTGGAAAAGTCAAAGCAGTAGTGATTAATCAATTCCAATTCTCAGAAGTTGAGGGGCGTGGTGACGACTTTCGAATGTGGATTACTAATGTGGGCTGAGTATATGAGTAAGCACTCACATGTCAACATGACACGCATGCCTTTAAAATCATAGGTTGATGGGCGATCACCCTCAGAATGCAAAATCCATTTTTGAATTGGGAAAAGCCACGTCCTGTCAGTGTTGAGGTGAGTAATCTGCACACTTGAGAGCAGTAAGCCATCCTCGGGTTTTGTACCTTTGTTCTGAAAATGCAAGTAAAATTCGCCTGTGTTACATTGCACGATTTAAGTTACGAATTACGGTCGTTTTAAAAGGGACGACTTTTATACTGGGGCTGTAGAAAGTTTTATACTGTGAATATTGCATTTTGCGGTTATGAAAGAGTAGTGCAATGTGTTAAGAAGCAACAATATAATCTTAAATACCTCCAAAAGTATCCACGACAGCTCTCCAACATCTCTGCACTTTACTTGGGATTCACTTGTGGTGCCACGGTCAAGAATAATTCCACTGGAGGAGTGATTTAGCAAAATAGTCTGAGAGGTCCCTTTATCTCCTTTCAAACGAAGACAAATCTAAATAAATTAGCCCTAAGTCTAACGATGGTCAAAACAGAAAAAACAGTTGTACGGGAGTTCAAAGGCAATAAATCTCTTGATTGAGTTATTTTTTTAATAAATATGCGCGTTATGCAGAAAGGAATCAACACAATTTAATATAAAAGCAGGGTAGGACGTTATATTATGCGACTATGTTCTTCGTACCAAGGATGTTGTTCCAGCACTTTTTTCA